AAAATAAAAGTCAATGGACTTTCATATTTTGAACGATTAAGTACCTAAACATTTTTTGAACCAAAAAAAATACTTACATATATAAAATTAAATAATAAAACAATTATTAAAAGAAAGAAATGATTAATTAATATTAATTTATAAAACAACTTTTTTAAATAAAATAAAATTAATAATATATATATATGTACGGAATTAAGTTGATGGTTTGTAAGTAATTATTGAGTTCAATTCTCAAATCATTTCATCCCCTACTAAGAGGATGCCATTAGCACTTCCTTTTTCAATAACATCAATTTTCAATGTATTATACAATTCTGCTAGAGCATCTTTAACAACTATATTAAAATAAAGATTTTAAATATTTATGTTATGTTTTTTTTGTCTCAAGGACTATGTTATATCAGATAATAAAATAAAGAAAAGAGAGAGATAAGAAAAATATTCAAATCTGGAGAAATCTCTAAAACTCTATATTTAAAATAGAGAAATAATATTAATACTTTCTCACTAGTAGGAGGGATAGAAATTAAATGTTTAAGGACAACTCCAACCTTCACAAAAAAAAAAAAAAAAAAAAACCAAATAGATGGTCCCTTAAAAAAAAAAAATCAACTCCAATCTTTTGATGTATTTGGCGTAAGAACGGGAAAATTAGGGTTTTGTCGTTCAATTGGAGTTACTTCTAAGAGACCTAAATAATATTTTATTAAATGTATTAAATATGTTAATAATATAAATGATGATAAAATTGTTAAAATAAAATAGTTATTGAAATTGGATTTAAATTTTATTAGAGGCTTTAATTTTTAAATTGTATTTTAAAAAAATTATAACATAGTTTTCGTACAAAATATGGAATACCCTTTTTTTTTTTTTTTTAATGGTATTTTGTTGGAAAAACCGTATGCCGAGTGGGGCCCAGTGGTGGACCGTAACATCTCAAGTGTAAGCACACACATTGGGACGTGGGAAAACCTAGAAAGCTTAAATACCGGTTCTCTGCGCCTGCAATGGAATAGGCCGGCAACTGCGAACGGCCCATTTCGCTATATAGAGATTTTGAGAAACAAGGGGACGAACGGTCCAAGATTCATTCAGGTGATTATCTTTTTCATTCATCCGAGTAGTATTCTCCTAAACGGTATACAGATTTCAAATCTGTGAGTCATATGTGTGTGAATTTGTGAAATATTGAATCTGAATGGCGTGATTTGTGGTTGAATTTGTTGGATTTGAGGTCTGAGTTACGTGGAAGAGTCGGTGTACTTGATAGATGTGAATTTTTGTGAGTTTAGCAGTTTTGTATGTTGATTTAGGTGGAATGTGGCTTAAGTTTTTATGGATCTGAGCATCGATTCTTTAAATCTACATCATTTGTGCGATTCAAAGCGATAAGGTTACTGATTATCAGCAATCTTACTTTACTCTTCTCGTTTTTTTCATTGGAAAAAGTGTTGCTACTTTATTTGAGCTAAGATCTGCATCGGTTTTGATTGCGACTCTTTTTGGATCAAACACTTGAACACTGTAATGTTTAAGCTGAAGTTTTCTGCTTCCATTTCTTACTGGATTGGTGTTTAGCAATAAAAATAAAAATTGATAATTACATGGGGCATTAGATTCAAAGAAATGGAATGAAAAGCAGAGACTTGAAGATGCTGGCTTGTAGGTGGAGGACCTGTAAGTAGTCATTAACCCTTCCTTCCCCCTTGTTGCATGTCCCAAAATAAGTAAACACTACAGTATTTAATTATTTGATTTACAAAGCGAATTTCAAATTACTGAATGAAGCAAACCACAATCAAAATCCACACAGATCCATCTCAAAATAAAAAAAACAAAAATTTTCTCCAAGAAGAAACCGGAACAAAATGAGTAAAGTCAACAAAAATGAAAGAAGACTATATATTTCCTGTTTAGATTAATTATAATCAGTAACCCTTAATTCCTGCATCATAAAGAATCAAGATTTAAAGAACTGGTGCTCAGATCTACAAAACTGAAGCCATATACTACCTTAAATCAGATTCAAAGCTACTTGAGATTTGTACTTATTTCTGTGTTTTGTCGTCGTCTGTTTCACTTTCACATGGACCTGGCACATGGGCATTCGCCAAACTCTTGCAACTTTATGAATTGATTTTATTAGGCCAACTTGCAGGTGGCATCCCTTTCTGAATAACCCTCTCATTAATGGCATGTTCCCAAATGACCATATAAAATCTGTTCAAATATGATCGTTTTGTCGTCATATATGAATTTGATTTTTTCCAAGCTTGTTGAAAACACACAACTCTTAGCCGGAAATTAAATGTTTTCTGAAAAGCTACTTCAAGTAACTTTGGAATAACCCGTGATGTGTTTTTTTCTTTGTCTAGTTTATCAACTAACAATTAGTTTATTAGCTAGTTTGTAAACTAGTTTGCGAAACATATCCTAGGTTTCAAGTGGCTCAGACTTGTTCTATGATTCGCCTTATTACTGTACTAGATATTTATGATGCTGAATTGGTCAAAATAAGGCTGAGTTGTTGCATAACTTTGGATGCTTGAATGATTGCAGTCAAAATTGGAGTACTGGCATGAATAGCCCTTTTTTTCCTTTGTGTGTAAAGCATTGTGTTTTGCATTCTTGATGTTATCTATACCAAGAAAACATGTCCCCACTTGTTTGGAAAATTTGGACTTAAATTGTTGAACGTTTGGGGTTTGCGTCTTCATACATAGACGGAGTTTACCTTCCACTGTCATAGTGTCATGGACCCCAGCTGCTATATATTTTATTCATAGATTCAAATCTTATTTTATTTTGAATGATCAGTCCCTCTTTTTTTATAATTTTATCAAAGCATGTGCATTAAAGGCACTATAAACATTATTTTTTTTGTTAGTTGATATTTCTTTTCAATACATATAACATCTATGTTCTTTCCTGTGTAGCAAGAGGCCTCTTTCCCACTAGCTTCGCTCTAGTCTTTTATTTTCTCGTAACTGTCGATGTTTAAGCCGGCTTTTTAACGTTTGATGTTTGCCTAATTCTTGTTTCCTGTTGTTTTCATATTTGAATTTTCTTTCCGATGAAATTGAAAAAGGAAAACTCTAATTTGTAAGGATGAATAATCTTGGAAAACTATTTGACAGTTTTAATGAAAAACACCCACATCTGGCATGTTGTCAAAATGAGACGATTTCATGAATCAATTGCTTTCACCTGGTGTCTTTTAGCATAAGAGGTTCTGAGGTGGTGTACTTGCACAAACCGGTTAGAGTTTGAATGCTGAATTGTAGGAGTTACATTTCCTTTAGGGCATCTCCAATAGTTAACACCAAATTCATAAAAGTTGGTGTAAATTTTGGTGCAAACAATAAATCTACTCAAACGGTAACACCAAATTGTACACTAAAATTTTAAGATTCTAAGTATATATATTCTTTTATCTTGATGTGAATGAATAGTATTATATCAAATTTGCTGCGTTACTATTCATTACTCCAAACTTGGTGTCCACGTCGGGGTAATTTTGTTGTCAAATTTAGTATTTGGCGTCTATAAGTTCCTTGTGAGCACTGAATTATTAAACAAGTTACCTAACCAGCGGTTGTATACCTGATTATAAAAACGTTTTTGCACAAAAAAAGTCAATCGATTGTCCATAAGCACAGATGTTATGAGAGTGCTGTGCACATGGTCCTGTCTAATTAAGACTATCCTTTTCATTGCTGGCTGGTCCTTTTGCTTTCCTTTAAAAGCTAAAGATCAAGTCAGGCTCTTTCAAGATCCATAGCTTATAAAAGAAAACTAAAACGTCATAAAGATTACTTCATATTTAAATCTTCTTTATCTTTTGCAGGTCATTGAACAATGGGTGCAGGTGGACGAATGTCGAATCCCGTCGAGGGCGAAAAGAAAGCCGAGCTTGAAGGTATCCAACGAGTCCCATGCCAAAAACCTCCGTTCACAGTTGGGGATGTCAAAAAAGCCATCCCACCTCATTGTTTCAATCGATCGGTCATCCGCTCTTTCTCGTATGTCGTTTACGACCTTACAATTGCTTCCATTTTCTATTACATCGCCACAAATTTCATCCCGCTCCTCCCGCACCCGCTCGGCTATGTAGCATGGCCGATTTATTGGGCCGTTCAGGGTTGTGTCCTAACCGGGGTTTGGGTCATAGCCCATGAATGTGGCCATCATGCCTTCAGTGACTACCAATGGCTTGATGACACTGTCGGCCTTATCCTACACTCCGCTCTACTTGTTCCTTACTTCTCATGGAAATACAGTCACCGTCGCCACCACTCCAACACCGGCTCGATCGAGCACGACGAAGTTTTCGTCCCGAAATTGAAATCTGGGGTCCGGTCAACCGCGAAATACCTGAACAACCCGCCTGGCCGGATCCTCACCTTGCTCGTCACCCTCACCCTTGGCTGGCCGTTGTACCTCATGTTCAACGTTTCCGGCCGTTACTATGACCGATTTGCGTGCCATTTTGACCCAAACAGTCCCATCTACTCCAACCGCGAACGTGCCCAAATCTTCATCTCCGACGCCGGAATCTTCGCCGTCCTTTACGGACTATATCGCCTTGCGGCAGTCAAAGGACTCACCTGGGTCCTTTGCATGTACGCCGGACCGTTGCTTGTGGTGAACGGATTCCTCGTGTTGATCACATTCTTACAGCACACCCACCCGTCATTGCCACACTACGACTCAACCGAATGGGACTGGTTGCGAGGGGCTTTAGCCACAATTGACCGAGACTATGGGATCCTAAACAAGGTGTTCCATAACATCACGGACACACACGTGACCCACCACCTGTTTTCAACAATGCCACATTATCACGCGATGGAGGCGACAAAAGCGATAATTCCGATCCTGGGAGAATATTACCAGTTCGACGGGACGTCGGTTTTTAAGGCGATGTATAGGGAAACAAAGGAGTGCATTTATGTGGATAAAGATGAGGAGGTGAAAGATGGTGTTTACTGGTACCGGAATAAGATATGAAGATGATGGAGGAAATGAAAAGGGTATTGATAGAGTGGCAAATGGTGATGGGTTTTCTAATTAGTGTTATGTTAGAGTATGGTTATGAGGAGATGCCATTTAAAATGGACATGGAATTGTTAGCCATTTGAATAACTTGTGTACTCGAACGTGGTGTCTGTGTGTAGGCTGTTAGCCACTCTGTTTTTAGCTTTTTGAAATGGATCCATTTTGGAACTTGGCTTGGTGTACAAAATACCCCCTCCAACCTTCTTCAAAAAAGAGCTAATGGTTCTTGCCTTTTTACCATTTTAGGGCCTTTATAAAAACCTTAGGTTATGATTTTTATAACATAGTCTTTATAATTATAAAAACACATCAAGATATCATATATATTTATTTTCCCATTTTATCCTTAATATGAAATGAAAAAGAGTTTAGAGTAAAATTCTTGTTAGTAGTCCTAAAAAGTTGACCGAAATCATATAAAACAAAGAGACTTTCATTTATGTGATTTGTCAATAATTTCGATTTCTGTCCCTATGATTTATACATCTTTGTACTAATTTAAGGTACATAAGATCAAAACAACAATAAATTGTAAATCGAACAAAACTAGTAATAAATTACAAGCCATAGAAATGAAAAATGGTCATTTCTAAACCGCAAGGATTAGGGGTGTTTGCGGTCCGATTTTGGTGGTTTAATCCCTCAGATGACAAACCAAACAATAATGACAATTTAATTTTTTTTAAAACCATGCAGTTTGACATCAAGTGCACAGATCGGTCAAAACAGCTCACGAAAAGGCGGTCTGGTCTGATCGATTTAGGCGGTTTGGGCCTTTAATGGACTTGAACATATTGAGTTTGGACTCGAAAAACTTGAAGGAAAGTGTTGAATCACTTGGTTGATGTCTTGATGATGTGCGCCGATTGATAGAGTTCTTGAGAGATTTCAAAATTTGGAGACCGTCAATGTCAAATGTGTCGATGTGTTTACTTGTTTATTTAGGCGTCGGTTCCTTTGAATTCGATTATATTAAATGTTAGACTTCATGTTGCGCTTAAAGATATATTTAGGCTATAGGCCATAAGTTAAAAAGATTGGTTTGATAACACTAATGTGTATATATATATATATATATATATATATATATATATATATATATATATATATATATATTAAATGTTAGACTTCATGTTGCGCTTAAAGATATATTTAGGCTATAGGCCATAAGTTAAAAAGATTGGTTTGATACCACTAATGTGTATATATATATATATATATATATATATGTATATTATCTTATTAAGCAAATTTGCTAAATGTTTTAGCACTCTTGAAATCTTAAAAATGTACAAACCCTAAAACCCAAAGTACTAGTTTTTAAAGCTGGGTTTTAAAACCTAAAAAAGTACAAGCACAAAGTACTCCCGGCAACGACNATTTAATTTGATGAATATGTAATTTCATAGAAGTTTTGATTGTTTCATAATATAAAGTATTAATCATAATTAATTAAGCTTATTCATCTTCCATAAATATTTAAATTATAATAAATTAACTCTCATTATTTTTATAAATATTTCAATTTATTAGGTTGTACAAATGTGATGAGTTGCATTTGAAACAAATTATATATATATATATATATATATATGTATGTATTTGACGGTCTGTTTGGTCCAAACCGCCAAAAAAAAGTTCCAGACCGCAGAATGGACCACCAAAAACACTCCGGTTTGAGCGGTCCAACGAATTTTTTGAACACCCCTAGCAAGAATGAAAAACATAATTTACTAAAACCATTCAATAAATTAAAATTGGAGATGCGGGGTATCGAACCCCGTACCTCTCGCATGCAAAGCGAGCGCTCTACCATGTGAGCTATATCCCCATATCTGTTTTCATAAAAGATTTCTCTATATATCAGCGATTCATAACTTCCCAAATGGCCTATTTCTTCTTCCATTCCCCCCAATTGTTTCTGTTCCCGCCTCTCTTCGGTCTTCACCACAACAATCCTGATTCCTGACCACTTTCTCTCCACTCACCGGCCGGAAATTCACCGCCGTCCTCCTCTCTCTCTTACATACCGGGTCTTCTTCTACTTGTGGGAGGTATTTTACAGGTAAATCTCGGTTTCTATCACTTCATGAGCTCATTGTTCGTGTTCGTTTTTGGGATTTCTTGTTTTGGTGTCGTTAATCTACAGGATGCGTATAGAAGGGGAAAAGGGTATTTTTTTTTATTTAGGTGTTTTTTTGTTTGTCAATGGGATTCAGGAACTGAGCGGTGATTACTTTGCAAGAGTCTTGAGTACGCTTAAAAAGTTCCGTTTTGGAAGTTGAATTGCAGCGAAACGAGTTCAGATTTGTGCTAAAGAGCTTTGATTATAGCTGCATACTACGAACTTCATGCTTCCAAACTGTATTGTTCTAGGTGTATTTATTTAGATCACATGTAGTTGTAAACCAATTGGAAGTTTGAAGAGAAAGGGCACTCTGAAATTCTTTATTTTTGTAGCTCTTGGATGAAACATGGTGGCACGAATTTTATTGGCTGAAAGATTATTATATTCTTTAAGAACTTAAACTGCCACTGTCTTCGTTCCAGAAAGATAAGAAGCAATAGAATTCCTTTCTGTTGCAGATCATACAAATACATTTTTTATTTGTAGTTGCAAGACCTGCAACAGCTATGCCAGCCATGGATATGGAAGTGGAGACAATTCAAAGAAAACAATCCCTCTATCAATCCATGGTACCTTTTGATTTCTGAGTTTATTTTTTGATGAGATTTCACTTAGTAATCTTGTTTAAAACCTGCTTCATACATGTTTATATAGTTATGAAACTGTGTTGTGGTGTTGTGTACATGCTGTTATTAACAGGATGAGATGTTTGAGATTCAAAAGGAGATGTACAAGGGTCAACAATATAGTCAGATATACTATATACGGTTACACTTGATCAGAACTCTCATTTACTCTCTCCTTCCCAATTGGAAGCCTCACTTGCCAGGTTTATTGTTCATCTGTTATATATCTCTAATTTCTGCCTATGAATGTCATTGGCATTTCATTGCATACTGAAATCTGTTTAAATTGGGTTTTTTATTTTTATCAATGTTGGGTTGCTTTATTTTCTTTTCTTTACTTGCCTTGCATTTTGTCACGAGGTTTAGTTTGGAGTTCAATAAGTGAGTCAACGAAAATTCTGTTTGTGATGAATGTGATGTCACTGTCATCAAGCTTTTTGTTTTCCAATTAAAACAATGTAGAGCATTAGTGTTCAAGAGATGATATTTGATGGATGTATCATGTACATGGCAAAGATATTTGTGCTCTCTCAATCTGATGAATTTCTCATTTTCAACTACATATGATGGTTGCTTATCATGAAACCATGTGCAAGTGTGGCAAGCTATAGTCTATAGTGTTGAACACCATTTTAAAGAGCTTTGACTCAATAGTCTTATGTTACCAAAAAAGTCTTCAAAACATAATTCACCGGGTTAATAGTTGTATTTACTTTTCAGAAGCTCCATGGTAAATTGGAGTTTGATTGATTTGGATCCTCGACATAGAGCTTATCTACTTTGAGTTGTTAATATGATAGTCAATTAGTCACTGTTTCCTTCACTTGCATATATGCAAGGCATCCTTTCTTTGTTTGCTGGAAAAAAGCATCGCTATGACAAAATGATTGGGGAATTGGAAGAGGGGCTCTGAAATATTATTCTTCTATGGCTGTGTTCTGTTAGTTTCTGCCTCAGAATTGTGTGTTTTGGCTGTCATATTTCAATGTCTCTACTCTCTACAACTCATCTGATGTTTTATTTCTAAACGTACAGTATGATTTAGTCTTCAGCTATATGATAACAGTGCGCCGGTACAGATTTTTTTTTAAGGTCTACGGTTTCTTTTTATCATTCTTATCATTTCTACTTGTGTTATGATGCAGTGTGTACAGTTTTAGGGCTAGAGGAAGGCAAAGAGTGCATTGTTGTTGGAACACTCTATAAGCATATGAAGCTCAAACCTACCATTCTTAGTGAGTATTCAAAAGAGGTATTAATGGTTTTCGTTGACACTGCTTCTCTTACGTTCATATCATGGTCTTTAGCTTGTAACTCATTTAATCTTATACAGATGTCTGCAGCCCCGCTTGTAAGCCCTTACAATTTTGTGCACCCCGATGATAATTTGGTTCTTGAAGATGAAAGTGGAAGAGTAAATCTCAAAGGCAGTGTACTATCACCTTCTGTATATGTAACAGGTCTGTATCATGACAAACTTGGAACAGGTCTTTAAGTTTTACATGCTTCTGGAACGGCTCTTTGTGGGTGCATTGTTGAACTGGATGAGGCTAATTGTTTCACGTAATGTATGTTTGAAATGGTACTTGTGAGTGTGATCTTCATAGTACGAGTCCAAATCCAATTGATATGTGGACTACCTCATTGAGTTTTGCTGCCAAGAAGTTTAATGTTGGACCCAGTATATTACTTTGCTTCTCTTTCCACCCTTCCCTGCCCCAAACTGCCTATTGAGGTGGGAACTGCATCTTATTGTGTTAGCTTGGGGTAGTTGACAACCATTGACAGCTCAAAAGTTCCATTTTATTCTGATCAATTTCTATGTGATCCTCTATGAACCTAGTCAGTTGCATTCTCAACCCTTGGGTTGAAAAGTTAAGCTTTACCGACCAACTCCAGGTTGGAGGTTACTGGTTATTTCTAGGGGAACAAGCTGAATTATAAGGAATGAACGGCTTTGCTCACACTATGATGGGTTCGTATAATTGGGTCAGTCAAGTAACACTAGGCTACTAATTCAGGGCAACCTAGTTTTCTTGAACTACGTCTCTTGTGACACCCCTCAGTTTTGACGCCCATAACCTCAATCGTTACTTGATATAGGAACTGGCATGGAGTTTTAATTAACAATAAATTGCACCACTTGTAGTTAACCGACAATACATAATTGCAATAAACATAAAAAGGAAAAAGTTATTGCTGATACCTTTTGAATATTTCATAAAATATGAAAAGGAAAGCTTTATGCAAAAGTAATCAAGCAGAGTAGAAAAGTCATCATGAAGTAAGTAATTGACTAGCACCGTAGAAAATTTTGGTTGCGATGATGTGAGAACATAGGTAGCCAAAGTAGATGATGGATCCACCAATAAATAAAACTACTGAAGTTAGTTCTTTGAAATATAGAACTGTTCGGGCAGAGAGGAGCAAGTTGTAGTTTAAGTTCAATCAGCAATGAGGTAAGGTGTTCTTTCGACTGAAAAGAGTGGGATATGTTTTGGTTTGTTTCACATTTTTACATAATTGGTAACACTCTTTGCTTTCTTGGTAATCAGTGTCTCATAAAGCAAACCTCATTTATATGGCTTTGGACAAAGAATTCTGGATATATGATTAGTAAAGCTTACAACAGGCGATTTCATTTTATATGTTATATCAGTCTACTGTGCTCAATTTTTTGGTCACCTTGTCACCAAAATGAGAAGTGGTTCTCCTCTAATCGGGTGCTTCAGCAACACATTACTTTGTTTAATATGCAGGACTGTTGGTTGCTCTGCTGTATCTCTGTGTTTAAACTTCAAAATTTCAAAATTGCACTACATAAGTATCTTTGCACTGATATATTATGTGTTGGTGTCCAATAGGAAATGTTGTTGCATTGCATGGCAAGGAAACTAGTGCAGGTGATTTTCTGGTTGAAGATATTCTTGAAGCTGGCTTACCACCACAGCTGGATCTACCAAATAAATCAGGTATCATGGCTCTTATCTTTGTCCTGTTTCCCAGTTTTCACTTGGTCATGGCTACATGATGTAATAAATTCATGGAGCTGTGTCTTTCTATCTTGATAAGGAATCAGTTCCTAACTAAGATAAACCACTTAAGCAACTTTTGACCAGAAAAGTTGAAATGCATATATATTTTGTGTGGGTTAAATTATATCAACTTCTGGTAACATAAACAAACCAAACAACGATCTTAATGAAAACAAGTGTATGATAAATGACAAATTAAATGCTCCTTATTTCTAAAAAGAAATGTGCTCTCCTGAGGTAATCGCCTCACCCCTGGAAGAGAACAAAAAGCTGATGCTTTCCTTAGAATCGGACTGCATTGATGACAGAATGTTTTCTTTTGAAACCCATCATGGCATCATACTAAAATAATTGACATTGAAAGTCTCTAGAAATGTGTGTTTATGTAATAAAGTTTCTTCATATCATTTCATTGCTCTCTAAGGCAAAATAATAACCTTTCTGAAATGTACCTCTTATTTTAAATGAGGTAGCAAGATTTTGTAAGTTTTGTAACCGATATTAGGCTACATTGTTGGCCTTGGCATAGTCTTAAAGGGGAATTTATGCTGTAACCCGTAAGTGTTCCTTTCATATATCAAGCAATCTTCTAAGTACATTGTGCTTATTTATGATTGCAAATTCTGACCTATTGGTTTGAGCTTGGCTCCAAAGGTCAAAAGTACCTGGAGGTCCCAGGTTCAAATCCAAGTAGGAATAAAAATCCCCTTGTGGCCACGGAGGTTCAAATGCGGTGACTCCGGGCTATGTGCAAAGCAGGTGGTTGCCCTCGGATTAGTCGGCTCGCATAGCGGGTTGGATATCCAGGTTAATCAAAAAAAAAATCTGACCTATTACTGTGAGCTAAAAGGTTTACCTTGGTTGATGTAGCATATAAAGATGATGTGGAACACATATAATTACTATTATTTCTCCTTTGTTATCTAGTGCTTTAAACTTTGAAATAAAAAAACGTTTGAAAAGAATGTAGTGTTTCCTTTGCCTTTGCATAACATGTGCAACCATCATTATATAAGACTTCTGTCAGATAATTTGAGCTGTTTCTTGCATTTTTGTTGAAAACCTGTCACTTGTCATCATCGTTTTTCATCTGGAATGCAGTTATCCTTTGTTCTCGTTAAATATTTCTGCCCCCTTAACAGGAGAAGACAAATATGTTGTCTTAGTATCTGGATTGAATGTTGGTAGCAGCTCTTCTAATCCACTTCAACTGCAGCTTCTTGTTGATCACATTACCGGACATCTAGGAGATGAGAAGGTCCCAATAGTTTCCTATGCCCTTTCTCATATGTTCCAAGTAATTATGTCTCATCTTTATATATTGAACAGGAGCAACACTCAGCTGCTCAAATAGTTCAAGTAGTTGTTGCTGGGAATTCTGTTCAAATTCACCATGAGCTTCTTAATGGTCAGGTAATGACGCTAATTGCTGTTATTAATGTATTTGTTCATACATTTTCTAAGAAATATGTGGGGTTTGAGCTCTCAAATTATCATCTCTTCAGTCTATGTCTTCTCACCCTTCCCCACCAATAATCTCGGTCGATCGTTGTGGTCTTTGTAATGGTTATAATGTAGGATAACAGTCCATGGCTTATCATTATTAGCTCTCAAGTCTGGATATAGGAAATAAGTTCATAATCTGGCATGCAACTCTTTGCAACTTATTCCATAAATCACAGTTCAGTGAAAGGAGTTCTTCCAAATTTCCATGTTAATTTGGACTTCCTGATTGGCGTTCTAATGTTACTTGACCAGCTCATCTAAAATAAATTGAAACATACGCCTGAAAATTAATCAATGTGCAAAAACAAACACAGATGAGGTGAATTCGACCTATCAGCTTGCAAAACCAGAGTACAAGTAGTATCGCGTTCAGCTTTAAAACATTGGCTGCTGGAGTGATGTACATCTAATAAAAATAAGAAATTAATAATAAAAAATTGCAAGTGTGCAGGGTCAGGATCTTGTTTCCCTCTTGCAAATGTATTAACAAAAATAAAAAAACTAATGATTATATATCGTATTCAACGAATATAATCTGGTAAAACCAATAAGCTTCATCCGTTTCAAATGAGCTTTTTGTTTCTTTTCTTCTCTTGGATTCATCAACCTTGTCACGGCAAATCTTATCGCTCCATCTTTGACTGTTAGGTCTATCAGCAAGTTGATAATCTGTCACCCAAAATTGATAGCAAGGCACATTGTAGTAATGACAAGAAGTATACCATTTTTATTGATTGCAGAACTTGGCCTCCAAGGACCAATCTAGGTTATCTGAGCCAATCAAAGAGCTGGATATCTTTTTGACCCAGGTACCTAAACAAATTATCATCAATAAACAAACATCAACCAGATCTTAATCATGTATAGTTTGTATGCAGATTGCTGCTGGTATACCTATAGATATCATGCCAGGATACAACGACCCTGCAAACTTTGCTCTGCCACAGCAGGTTGTCATGTCATACATGAGAATTCAAACGAGTTCATCACTTCTTTTTTGCTTACATTCTTTTCCATACAGCCTTTGAACAGATGCCTTTTTCCCGGATCAGTGGCCTATAACACATTTAGGTCATGCACTAATCCTCATCTCTTTGATGTGGACAACGTGAGGTAAGACATGTAAGACCCGTAATATGAATAGTGCTTAATACTTGTGCTCTTACTTGTAATTCCAATGGTCTTCAGATTTCTTGGAACATCCGGTCAAAATATTGACGATCTTGAAAAGTATTCTGAAGCAGAAGATAAATTGGAATTTATGGAAAGGACGTTAAGGTGGAGGCACCTAGCCCCAACTGCACCAAATACACTCGGTAACATATTGTATAGCCTATTGAAAATTCTTTCTGTTCTTTGTAAAATTTTAAAATTCATCTTTCCAGTTGCATCTCTCTCTCTCTCTCTCTCTCTTGTATAATGTAGCTGACGATTTTATCTAGAGAGGAAAGACCATTTCCCTCAATCTGATTGAATTTCAATGCTCGGTTGACAAAATTCTTGTTTTACAGGATGTTACCCCTTCACTGATAGGGACCCTTTCTTCATCGAGAGCTGTCCACATGTTTACTTTGTTGGTAATCAGGATAAATATGCAACTCGGATAGTAAAAGGTTCTTTCTAGAAACATCATGCGCCATCAATTCATTCCTTTCAAAAGTATATGCTAATGGTAAACTTTCATGCAGGATCAGAGGGTCAGGTGGTGAGAGTCGTATGCATTCCAAAGTTCAGTGAGACAGGCATTGCTGTTATGGTAAGTCCTTCAGGATCTTCGGCTGTTCATATTGTTTCAGACATTGTCTGTTGAATAATCGTGATACTTGGCATGCAAATCCGTTTAAGAGCTTAATTTCTATGCTTCTGGCATGCAGGTGAACCTGAGAAACCTGGAGTGCCACACTCTTAGCTTCGGGACTCAAATCAGCTCGTAACTACTAATCAGGTAATATAATAATTTAGAGATATAAATTTGTTCAAGTTACTATCAATCTTCTGTTTGCTGTTTGCGGCTATCAGTATCAAGAACACTGAAGACACGGTAGAGGGTATGAATATCGTTCAGTTGTATAGGCCAAACTGCAATTAAGTTTCCTGGCAACCTCTGAATTGTTAAGAGGTGAATCTTGTTTGGCAAAAAAAAAAAATCTGCCTCTTAATGGTTCTAAAATCCTCTGAATAATTGTGTATCCTGGATCTCCTTTAACCATTAAGAGCCCTAATTTCACTGTACACAATTACCAAACAATTATATTTTATTTTGCACTATATCATGAGAACCTCTTAATCATTCTGACCACTTAATCATCCCGCACCAAACCATTCAACAATTGTCAAACAGCCCTTGATAACAGAGGCTTAATTCTTTTTATTGCACACCCATTTTGACTGATAACTTATAGATAGTGTAACTAATGATAATATGGATGCCAAGTTGTCGAAGTTATACTATAATCTTGATTTACGATGAAAAAATGTCACATCAGAATCAATCGATGTGGCGTTGGATAAAAAACCCATTTATTAGGTAAAATGGATAAGAAATTGTAAGAATTGAACGCTTATTACTTTTATCGAGAGAAATTTTTTCATCCCTGCACTCAATAGCAACTACGTAAAAATTGTTACATTTTGCCCTTTATAGAAACATCGTTTACCTTTTTAATATCATTAACCTTGCTGTTTATCGCTAGGTTTGCAGATGGTCGTTAGATGACAACCACTTTTGTGAAAGACGACCACTTTTGTGAACTCTTGATGTACAATCGTGACGTTTGAAGTGGTTCCCCAGTTCAAGCATGCACTTAGCAGCCTCGTGGCGACCATGCACAGAACCAGATAGAAGATTCGCCGTCAGTTTACTTGTTTCGTAACTGTATTTGTCGTATAACAGCCTGTATGGCCATGAATGATCAGATATGTGTTGGTTTTCGAATGCTAGCAGTCGGAGACGGGCTTGTTATTATATTCTAACAACTTATTGTAACAACAGTTGTACTAATGTGAGTTTGCTTCTTTTTTGTTGAAAAAATCGTATGAGAAGAAAAGTTAAGATGATAAGTATGAGAAAATATCTGAACCATTGATCATTTTTTATATCTTGTCCATACCATGAATTGCGTTTTTCACAAGAATTGATCTGATGCATCTCATCCTAATATGTATCAAAAAGTGGATACTCTTCTTACACTTCTTATCTTAACTTTCATTCTCACGGATTTCACCATTTTAATTGGAAAAGTTACTTTAAAATAATGATAAACAGAAAAGTAATAATTAAAATATAAATAAAAAAATAATTTTGTTTATAACATTATGATCAGAAAGGCGCGTTGTTTCTGAACCCCAACGGCTCTATTTCCACATTCTCATCACCCACCACCCCGCCACCACCTTCAACGGTCCATTTTTATTCTAGCTCATAACATTCAATTCACTCCCACTATTTTCCTCCATCTTCTCCCTCTCTCTCTCTCTAACCTTCAATCATTTTTCTGATGGAATCCTCCTCCACCATACCTTCACCTACAGCTACCGTTCAACATGTAACCAAAGCTTCCTCCGATGAACTCCTTAGCAAGTTCGCCCAAATGGCTACTCCCGATCGTTCTTCCACTAAATCATTGCGTTTGTTGAAGCGACAAAAGAGATCAGCTCAATCAATACCACCGCCCACCACTCGCCGTGAAAGCTCTGAGTTTATCGGCGGATTAGTTGTGGAAAGGAAGTCGCTTCTTCCTCCTGTTCGCAGATCTTCCGGTGCGGAGGCTTTGGTTAGGCAACTAAGGGTTGGGAGAGCGAATTTTAGGTCTAGGAATTTCAAGAACAGATCGTTTTTTGGAACGATCGAGAAGGTAATACATCCAACTTCATCTGAATTCAATAATGTTTGTGGTATTAGGGTTTGATTTAGGGTTTAGTCTATTTAATTGTTCTCTGTGCCCTAATTCTGCATTTTTCTATTTTTGGTTTAATTAGGGTTTAATTTACCAAACACTTATTGGTAAGTGTTTACCCACAAAATTTAACACCATCATTGACTTATCGGGTAAGATTTTACTCCACCAAAATGGTATTGTATGCAACAATTTACCCGGTAAGCGCTTACCATGGTAAGTGTCGTCGCCCTCACTTACCGGGTAAGACTCTTGATCCTTGTATCGCTTTTACCGGGTAAGATTCTTGGTTCTTACCATATTCATCCGGTAAAGTAATGTGACTTGGTGTTCACTTACCCGAGTAAGCATTTGGTAAACAGCCTAGTGTCTACATTTCTATTTTAATTTTTTTTTAAATAAGTTAATGTTTTTCCATTCTATCCTTGAGATTGAGAAAGTTTCTTTGTCTATTACCAAGGATAGAAGTGTCATTAACATTTATTTTGGGACAAAAAGAATACATTTTCATTTTTATCATAATTTCTCTTAAAATAAATGTAATAATCACATCCGTTAAAACTGTGTATCTTTTTCATCGTAGACATTTATTTTGAGACGAAGTATTACTTCCATAAACCTAACAAATATTAATCTATTGACTTTCTACAATAATGCATGTCGGGGCAAAAGGGAGACGTTTTGACTGAACATCCCTATCATTCCATAATTCCACGTCACACATGATACAATCTCGAAACACCGACCGACCGAAATATCTTCATTTTGTTCCGTTATTCGTAGCTCAAACGTTCACTCACATTGGAATAAAATCAAGACATTTTGGTTGAACTCTCGAGCATTCTTCAACTATGTTATGAAGAAAATTTATTCCGATAGTAATATCAATTAAAATCTAATCAATTTGACCAATCGTTTTGGTTGAACTCGTCTCTTATTTCGTAATCTTATGATGAAGTTAACTCTACTCCACTTTTTGTTGCATTTTGCCTTTTGCACTTTTTAGACTTGGCGAAGAACTGTTGATGGAGCATCCAAGGTCTTCATGGAGAAGCAGTATTATAACAGGCATAAGCGCTTGCTAAGCGACACTACCTAGATCTACTTCTAAACTGTATTATTTCTTGTGAGATCTCACTCACAAGATCTCACAAGAAACGGGTAGACATTTTTTTTTTCTTTAAAAAATAATAAAGTTTTTGGCTTTCTACGGTTGTTTTTAATCATATTTTGAATGTAAATCGTTTTCTTTATAATTTATCGTCATTACTGAACGTTATTTGATTTTAGTTGATAAGATTATTTCATTGTTTAATACGTAAAAAAATATGTTCGTAATAAAAATCTTGTTTAAAATTTGACGGGATGAAAATGAGTGTATATTTTCGTCATAAAAATCGGGAGATTTTAGAAAAATTTGTTATCATAAAAGTCGTCATGTATTATTAGTGTACGTCATAAACAATTATACTTGTATATATATAAAGGCAGATGTTAAAGAAACTCGTATTTGAAAAAAGAACTTATAACACCCTTAAAAATAGAGTAAATTTAAACCAAAAGTCGATACAAGCATATGAATATAAAATCAACCAAGAAGGGGAAATAATATAGCGTTCACAACCTAAAGAATAAAAGGATAAATAACAACCTACTGAATCTAAATTATTTATAATTCAGATTATGAATGGATATCATTATCATCATCAATATAACGCCAAATTGATCAAAAGCCAGCAAACCCAAAAGTCCCTCTACCAATGTCCAAATACGTATGCCCGTCAAGATTTCAAAGCTATACCGCTAAGTGAACCTGATACACATGTCATTTAAGAAAAATTGTTAGACTTGACGCTAATGAGTCCAAAGAGCTATAAATAATACAAATGACCTTATAATAAAAGTTTATAAGCTTGATTTTTAAAACCCAAGTTCATTTTTTCCAAATAAAGAACGGGGGAGACCGATTTCCATGGGTAATAGCAGAACACAAAGGTAGACCACTATTCCATGTTATAAAGTTCACATTAAGGATCAATGGTCAATTAGTTCAACCAACCGAAATTTATAGTTCCACGCCTCCGATGATCCTAGTTATACTCATCCGCTAGAAATTAATTACATCATGTGGCCAATGGCTAATATCCGGCTCCAAAAATTCGTACCAAATTGCCCAATGACCCAATGCCTATTTATAGTGACAAAGGGGAAGACCATCCCATTTTAATTAAAATCTGACTCCTATGCCTATGAATCAATTGCATTACCGTGTAACATGTGTCGCAACTTTAAAATGACTAAATACAATCAAACATACAGTTTTTATGATTCAGATGTCCTCATAAAAAATCGTTTTAACACAACACATACCAATTAGGACAAAGTTCTCTTATTCCAAAGAGGTCATTTTCTTCCTTGAGTACGATATCGTATTTCCACATCTTTTACGAAGTTCATAAAGTCTAAAGTAACCTTAATTACAAGTAGAATACTTCACTTTCCCGAGTATAACCATTTTTCCATGGAATGCCTTCAAGTGTAAACTATCAAGAATATACATGAATCCCGATGTGCAAGTCTCAAAATAACACCTAAGCGTTTAAAACACGCTTTTCTAACACATACTTAAAAATCCATCATTTGTTTGCAAAAAAGGTGAAAACCCCCAAATCTCCCCAAATACCCAAAATTGGTCAAATCCATAAAAAAAACCCTAACTCAAAACCTGTTTAAATTGCCAAGCAGTAAATCCTGCCACTTTGGCCGCGACTAAAACCAAAAGTTGTCTGCGTCCTTCAAGCTTGGCGCATACAGTGGGTAACACAGCTTTAGCCGCGTGGCAACCGGCAGGACCCATCGTTTCCTCCCCAAAAAGTTTATTTTCTTGAGTTCTTAAGCACCAACAAACATCCCACTCAACAAAACTCAAGGGAGCTCAATTTTAAACGCTAAATATATAGATGAAATCTAAACGTATGAATTTAATGAAATTCCAGACGTTACACCAATGATGTAAACGATAAGTTTTTGAAAGTCCAAGATGCATCATAATTCAAGTGTGAAATGAAGATTGTCTTAGTTCTTATTTAATGTTAATTTTTTCTCAATTACTGTAATTCTTCTTATTTCGTAGCCATTTTAATCTGTAAACGATAGATTGATGTGAAAATTGTCAAGTTATATTACGATATTATTTGAAAACTATTACATCAAAACCAATTGATGCCATGTAGCCTGAAACCTCGTTTAATAGGTAAATATATACAAAACATAGAGAATTGAATGCTTGTTACACCACAATAATTAAGCGGGTGTCTGGTTCAGGATATTAAGGGGCAAGGAATGAGGATGAGAATAAGAATGATCGATGGTGTTTGGTTCATATAGGGAATGGTAATGCAATATTTAATAATGTTTGGTTTTATACCATGCAATTAATCATTATTTTTTTTATTAATCTGGATATCCAACCCGCTACGCGAGCCGATTAATCCCAGGACGACCATCTGCTTTGCAAATAGCCCGGAGTCACCACATTTGAACCTCCGTGGCCACAAGAGGATTTTTATTTCTCCTTAAATTTAAACGTGGGACCTCCTGGTACTTTTGACATTTGGAGCCAAGCTCAAACCAATCAGATGCCACTCTTGTGGTTCAATCATTAAATTATTTTGGGTAATGGGAAATGACCTCCTTATCTCCTATTCCTTTATCCCACCCTCAAATCGATGAGTAAACCCTGAATTCCAAGTAGATTTCCTCCCCAACAGTGAGTAAACCCTAATCGATGAGCACACCTTAATCGAGCTCGAAGCGGATTTCCTCCCCAACATAAAACTCGATTTGCTTCAACAATGTTGGTTTCAATCTGCTTGAACATCAAACTTGATCTACTTCAAAAGAGCACTTCCATTTGTTTCATATCAATGAAGATTCAACGTGTTTCAAATAGATGAATAAAATTATGTGTCATGGAAATCCACACAGTTTTTTTTTGTAGTTTATTATTATTATTTCTCTCCTGCACATTTTACGTGTTCGACCAACCACTCAGAGCAAAGGTCAAGAAGACAACACAGAATGGAAATGGTCTTTTAATTAACTATAATGTCATAAATGCTAGTGATTTTATCATTATAGTGTTTTTTTATATCATTGGCGTCCAAACTAGCTCGCATGTATCTCGACTAATTTCATAAGGCCTTCAGTTAATAGTTTGGAGAATGTCCAATGACCCTGAAAAGACTTGAAGTGTTGACCAACGGGAGCAAAGCAACTAAGCTACCTCAAACTCTCAAAGGTTTCATTGAAGTGTTTCAATAGTTAGTCTCGAAAGTTGAGGTACCTTCTTGCTAGTTTCATGAAAATACAGTGTCATTCAAGTTTTTCAATAGTTAGTTTCAAAAGTTGAGGGATCTTTTTGTTAGTTTCATGAAAATACTGTGGCCAATATGAAATTTTATTTGAAATGGGGGTATAATGTAAATTTACAAGGGATTAGATAGGGTTTGGTGAGCTAGAAGGATCCTATACAAATATAAGTCACTTCACGGATCACTTGAGTTTTGCTGCTCCAAAAGTTGTGGAAAGAAACATCCATTTACCTCATTACACCCCTCCACTTTTCTCAACTTTGTATATCAACCCCTTCATATTGTTCCTAAGTGGCAAGTGCAACTTTTACAAGGTTATTTAGGTAATTTCAAGATTTTACGTTCACTTTTTTTCTCGACTTTACATTCACTTTTTTTCTCGCCAGTAGAAGGTACTATGAGCTAGTTAACAGGAGTTTATGGTCAGATGCTACACGTGTGTTACGGTTTTGACTATGCTACCCTTGTGAAGGTTGGCTACAGTTCACAAGTCCAAGTGCGTGAATCAAGGGTTGTTTTCGTAATTTGCTAACATGATCAACTTAATTGAAAATTTCAGAAATGAATGATATTCTCTGAAAGTAAAAGGGAGAAATTTGTCAATTTATATATACTTGAGGGGCCTTATTGTACCGTAAAAGATCCTTTTAAACTTGTATCTTCTTCCCTCACTCTCCAACGACGCATTCTTCCCCGCTCCTCCTCTCACCGCCGCCGTGCCACCGGCGCCCTCCACCCTAAAACTCATAAAGCACCAGCAATTCTCTGTCCCTCTCTATCTCCCACAGAGAGTCACTCACACACAAGATCGAATCTCTCTCCATTTATCCGTGTTTTGCCCTTGTTAACGGTAAAGCAATTCGCCGGCGAACTCAGATTTCTTCTTTCCTTCTCCGTGTTCATGTGCCTGGTGACTCTGCCTTCTTTGATATACAATCTCCGGTGCATTGACTGTGAATCAAGAAATTGCTTGAAGCAGAATCTACTGCTTTATACATTCCTCTGTAAGTTCTTCACCTATCTCTCACTCAAACGCGCGCACACACACACACTGCTTGATCAATTTTATTTCTAAATTCAATTTAATTACTATATTGCTTAGTATGTCTTGCATATTTTATTTGTAATTCCGCTTAATTTGTTCGAGGATTGTATATCCTACTAGTGTTGCTCTGTTCTCCAAGCATTTCATTTATTCAAATTAACTCTTAGAAATGATGATGTTATCGGGATATGGATCTATTAATTACTCATTGTGATGTTTTTTTATCCTAAATTTTGAATTTGCCAGGTTTTTTTTTTCCACATATTTTAGGGTTTTCAATGTTTCATTGCATAGACTCTTGAAATTACCAGGTTTTTCAGTAATCTCTGTATGCATTAGATCATCGATTTCATTCCAGTTAGTTTATCTAACTATGAATTCAGGATTACTTTTCCGTTGAAATTCTTGCAATTTGTTGCCATGTTGTAAATGATCAAGAAACAACCCTTGATTTTGTCATAATTGTCATGTTTCAACTCTATAACTTTATCATAATTTATAACTTGGTGAGGTTATGTAAATACTTTATCTTCTTGCTGTTTTCCCCTTTTTTCATTGAATATTTCATAGGGTGGTGATTGAGAGGGAAATGAAGGATGTTCTCTTGGGTGGGGAAGTTAGCATCAGCATTATGGTTACCTTTAAGTCTATATGCCCGTATGAACAAGGATGACAACTTGGATGACGATAAGGATGCCCTCCTATGGTGTAAGGATCTCGAAAAACATGCATTTGGAGAATTCTCGTATGCAATTGTACAGGCCAATGACGTTTTAGAAGATCACAGCCAGGTGGAGATCGGTCGAAACGCCACCTTCGTTGGCGTTTATGATGGCCATGGTGGCCCAGAAGCCTCACGCTACATCTGTGATCATCTTTTCCCTCATCTCATCCGTGAGTCTTCTTTTTTTCTCTTTTCCCTTTCACATGCTACCTTTAATCACATAAATCTTGATAAAAGTGTATGGGACTCCATGTCTTTTGTGTGTGCTGTGCAGGGTTGTACTTCATCCTCTCATGATTTGTACTGTGTGTATGGTAAATCATACCTAACTTTAGCATCATGGTGTCCCCTAAGATTGCTTTGGTTCACTTATTTTCTCATTTGAATCAATCTGTATGATATGATGTTCTTTCTTTACTCGAAAAGTCCATATCAATGTCATTACTGTTTGCATCTTCTTGATTGGTACAAATATTTTGCAGATTTTTTGAAGGAAAAACACTACTGTTGGTTGACTGGATTCAAATTGTTTCTTGTTTAACAGGTCTTGCTCGAGAAAAGGGATTGATATCCTCAGAAATCCTCAAAGATGCTGTTTCTGCTACCGAAGATGGATTTCTCTCCCTGGTGCGCAGGACATGTGGGATTAAGCCGTTAATGGCTGCAGTTGGTTCTTGTTGTATAATTGGGCTCATATCCGAAGGCACATTGTATGTTGCTAACATGGGCGATTCTAGAGCTGTAATAGGGCGTTTAAGTAGGCGCAGATCAAATAAAATCATAGCTGAGCAAATCACCGAAGATCATAACGCTTGTATAGATGAAGTTAGACAAGAACTCAAGTCAGATCATCCAGATGACCCGCATATTGTTGTCATGAAACAGGGCGTGTGGCGTATCAAAGGCATTATTCAGGTTTTGTGTTCAATCTTTACGACATTTGACCGACTGCTGCTTTTATGTCTTACATATTTCATCTTTTTGTACATCTTACCCTCAAGACTGGGCTGGTTTGGTTTTTGTTTGCCGTTTGGTTTATGTTTTATCTTGGTGGCTTGGTGGTCTTAGGTTTCAAGAACCATAGGAGATGCATACTTGAAGAAGCCGGAATTTGCTCTTGATCCGTCGTTCCCACGGTTCCACCTTCGTGAACCTATCCGACGACCTGTTTTACGAAATGGCCCCTCTCTGCACACCAGAGAGTTAAAACCCGACGACAAGTTTCTTGTGTTTGCATCAGATGGACTGTGGGAACACCTGACAAATCAACAAGTTGTCGAGATTGTTCACAATAACCCACGATCAGTAAGTTTATTTTCTTTGTTTCATTTGTTCAACACCTGTACTTAATTATGTGAGCATTTGGTACACGGGATGGAACAGGACATGAGAGTACAAAAATTTGTTGCGCATTAGTCGCAATATTTGACTGGGCCTTGATAGGAACCGAGTGGAACAAAAATGTATTTCTTTTCTGTCCCACCAAAATAGGTGGAACACAAATCAGTGAGGCGAAAACAAGATTGATTCCCCATGTAAACTTAAAACCTTAAAACCTTCAAAAACTCACCTGCCTACCTCACTATCGCCCGACTGTCCAGTCTTGTACCATCTGCATTACCAAACGCACCCTTAAATTACTCTCTAGGGGGCTCTTAAAGGGAATATATATTCCAACATATATAGACCGGTTGGAAGGGACGTGTTTAGCCGAAGTGAGATTCCAACATGCCCCTCCAACGGAGGCGGGGTCCTAGAGTGTCGGATCTCTAGAGTCTAGAGATGGTAGACGTCGACTCTGATACCATATAAAATATGTGGACCCCCTCGGATTACTCTCTAAAAGAGCACTTGAATAGTGAAAAAGGGTTTCAACGTATGTATATCTGTTAAAGAAACCTTGTCTAGCTGGTCTGGAACTCTAATACAGGAAATTGGAGTATGAGATTTGTGTTTGGTTTCATCAACAACTAGATGACACCAAACCGTTTACGCTTCTAACAATGGCCACGATCTTGTATGTTTATAAACATCAGGGTATTGCGAGAAGACTCGTTAAAGCAGCCATGATTGAAGCTGCAAGGAAAGGAAAGAAGAAGTATGATGAAGTGAAAAAGATCGAGAAAGGGTCTAGGCGTGCTGTTCATGATGATATCACAGTAATTGTCGTTTTTATCTACCAACAGACAAACGTAGAAATTGATGAAATGTCTATCCGTGGGTTCACCAACTCGACTACGCCATCCACTTTTCGCACCTTGCAAGTGAGTTGAAGGGATTAATGTGGTGTCATGAATGATATAAAGCAAAAAATCAACGAGTTTTGGGTCGAAGAGATCTTTTTTTCGGATTCTAACACAATTTCTACGTACTTGATCTTGGCTCATATATTCTAAGTCTTTTTTTTTCTTTTCTATTTTGTCGTCTTATTTTCGATCCTGGTTTGATCCCTTTTTCTCAATGAATCGTTGATTTGTTGGTTCTTTTGATCGATCAAAAGAACCAACAGAGGTATGTACTATACATAACACACTTCAAAATTCGTTGAATTTGAATCTTATGTTTGAACGTTGTCTCTCTTGAATTATGGACGAAGAAGATCTTATTCCATGGAATGAATATAGTTTTCTGAATTGTTTTATGTCATATTTATAATAATAAAATATTTATATCTTTACAATAGATTTTTCAAAAGAGTAAACTCTGATTTTGGTCCTTGATGCGTAGTGAAATATCTGAAAGTGGAACCTATATTCAATAAACCATGTATCTAGATAATATGCACTTATGCATACAAGTAATTTGTCACATTCACACATGTATATGCACATGTGCAGAAAGACCAAAAACAGTTTCAATTATTTGTATATACATGTTCAATTATCGTCTAGATGAATGGTTATCAGAGTGTTACTCAATTTTTTTTGGGGTTTTCCTTGAAACTCTTCTCTCTCTCTCTCTCTCTCTCTCTCTCTCTCTCTCTCTATATATATATATATATCTATACTATATTATAATGCATTTGGCTAAAACTCTTAAAAACTCTTAAACTCTTAAAACTCTTAAACCCGTTCATCC